CCTTTTTCGCTCTTACGCTTGACCTACAGGCCTTTTTGGCGGTTGGACAGTCCCATTTGATTCGGGTGGCATGCCCTAGTCCAAACGGTCCAACCTTTGGTTGACCGTTTAGAGAGTATTGTTAAACATCTCCAGGTAGCTTATGACGGCAGGGTCAAGTTGTGAGCTTGAAGGGATATCTCCCATGGCATTTTGTGGAACTAAGGGAACCTCAAGAGAAGTGTCCTCTTGTACTTAGGGGATCTCCTCAGCACCATGATTGGTTCGCTCAGGTTCGAATCGGTGAGCCATTTGCTGTTGTAGGACCAATTAGTTAGAGATTCTCCTGATGAAGGACGAATACTAAATTAGGCCCTCCTTCTAGCGCCAAACTGTTGGTGCGTGATTTTGACACCAACTAAACGCATGTGTGAAATGCTGAGCTGGCCCAGAAGACACACGCGAATAGGGGTTTTGGAGATGAATAATAGGTGAAGAAACAATGTTTTAAAGTGGTTCGGATATCTAAACAAGCGACTCCTACGTCCACTGGTATTGTATTAATATGGAGGGTCAGGTCATAGTCAGCGAGCTGACTTGCAAATGATTACAGAGAGAATAAGCAATTACAGAGAGAATTTAGCTATTACAGAGAGAAAAATAAGCCAATCCCACAAATAGGAGAGGAGCTCTCTATTTATAGTGGGATGTATTGGAGTAATGATTACAAAATCCATAAAAAAGGGGCACATACCGTGCAAATCCTTCTTTGCGTCCGGTTACTCACCCACTCGAGTGATTTCCTCGTTTAGTACAGGGGTTGGACACGTGGACGGCCTCCAACCTTTCGTCATTCTGGCATGCACCCACTACACTGGCAAGAGCATGCTGCTCACGCCAGCATGCGACGTGGCAGTGTCTGAGCGACTGTAGAATCTGCCTAGACTTTGATCATTTACGCTGACTGGGCTCTGCGTCAGTCCTACTTTTTCAGGCATAACATATATCATCATCCACTTTGATTAAGACTATATTTATTAATCTCCTTCTACACTTATTTAAACACAGTTTTTTATTTACATTTGTTAGTTTGATTTTCTTTTTGTAACATAAGAAAAGAAGAATACACTTTTAAGTGGTTAGAAAAGCTCTAAAACATATATTAAGATAAAATCACTTTAAAAAAGAAGACTTTGAAAGAAAAGCACTTTCAACTTTCAATATCATTCAAAAACACTTTTGCAAGTATACTCAAACACATGCTACATCCTTTATTTCTTATAAATAGCATTTAGTTTAAGGAATATTATATTATTGAGAATGTTATATTAATAAAAAGATAGATTATCTTAAAGTATAATAAAGAATATTATATTACTATATTTAGTTAGATTGATAAGTATAAATAATTAATGTGTTTGGTTGGGATGAATAAAATATTACCATAAAGGTTTATGTTTTTCTTTTTTAATAATAATAATAATATTATTATTTAGAATATTACTTTACCCTTTACATATGATAATTTAGTTAAAATCCACTAAAAATTTAAAATTTAAAAAAAAATACCTCCAATTATTCAAGACGACTACTACTATGGGTGTTCAAAAGAACTGATTGGAACTGGAACCGGCGGGTACCTAGGGTTTGGTTCCGGTTCCTACCCGGAACCAACCTTCAATGGATAGGTTTTGGTTCCAAATTTTTGGAACCGTTACTGTTTGGTCCCGGTTTCAGTTCTTATAGCTAGGAATCGGAACCGGAATCGGGAACCGAGACTAATATAAAATAAAATTAAAGAGTAGGGGGGTTAATAAAAACTTTTGTAGAAAAAGTAATGTAAATACATTTGTATTTATATTTCATAACATTTAAAGTAAGTTGGTTTGACTTTTGAGAATCTATCTTTACAAAGTAATGGAGTTTGTAATTGTGAATTTATAATTTATAATTTTATTTTTTTTAACAAGTACCAGGTGGTAGAGGTGTTCAAAAGAATTGGTTGGAATCGGAACCAGTGGGTACCCGGGGTTTGGTTCCGATTCCTACCCAGAACCGACCGTCAACGGGTAGGTTCCGGTTCCAAATTTTTGGAACCATTAATGTGCGGTTCTGGTTCCTATAGTTAGGAATCAGAACCAAAACTAGGAACCGAGAAGCGAGACTAATATAAAATAAAATTAAAAATTAGGGGGGTTAATAAAAACTTTTGTAGAAAAAGTAATGTGAATACATTTATATTTATATTTCATAACATTTAGGGGCGTTTGGTTTAGGAATGTTAGATTACTGGGAATGTTGGATTACTAGAAAGATAGATTACCTTGGAAGATTATTGGGAATCTTTAGGAAAATATGTTTGGTTAGTTGGTTGGTATGTTATATTAATATGTTTGGTTATAGAGAATAAATTGGTGGGTATGTTGTTTAAATTACTAAATTGTCCCCCTTTTAAATATTAATATAATATTATTTTTATTATTAATTTTTGAATAATTTCTTTTAACCCCCAATATTTCAGATTTAGCTAAAACACCCCCATTTATATAAAACTTTAGTTTATGACGAAATCACCCCTACCTCCTGCCGCCGTCTGTCGCCACCGTGAACCACCGCCAGATGTCTCTGAAAGTCCCCGTGAGTACTTCACCGTGACCAAGAGGCTCCGATATGGTCATTTCTGGCCATATTGGGCCAGATCGATGGGTCTGGCCGGAAATGGCCAGAATAGATCTGCCCATTTTCAACCAGATCTGGCTTGATATGGCCGTTTCTGGCCATCACTATGGCCGAAAACGGCCATAGCGAAGCCTCCTGGAGTCTCCCACAGAATTTCCTTCTCTTTTAGGGACTCCGGCGATTTTCCGGCGGTGGTCCGTGGTGGTTGGCCCGCTGTCGGCGGTGGTGGCTAGGTGGCAGTGGTGGTGGTGGCTGGGTGGTAGTGATGGTTCGTAAATAATTTTAAATATAAGGGCATTATTGTCCAAAATTTTAATTAAACAAGGGTAAAATTGAAATAGGATATTAACGTAAATTTGTTTTAAAGTGGGGATATTATTGTCCAAAATTTTTATTAATAAGGGATAAAATTGTAACAAAAAAAGATAACCTTGTTATTTTTTTATACCTAAGAAAATAGAGGTAATCAGATTACCCCTGATATTACCAATAGTAACCACTATTGGTATTTGAAGATTACCGGTATCTTATATTACTTGACAACCAAACATGGTAATCAAGTAATATAAGATGACATTACCCAAGTAATCCCACTTAACCCCCAACCAAACGTCCCCTTAAAGTAAGTTGGTTTGGCTTTTGAGAATCTACCTTTACAAAGTAATGGAGTTTGTAAATTTGAATTTATAATTTGTAATTTTATTTTTGTTAACAAGTGCCAGGTGGGGGGATATTTGTAAGCTTTTAAGGTTCTTTTGCCATTTTAAAAACTTTTGGGAGGTCATTGTAATTTTACAGGGTACCCAGAACAAGAACCAGAACCATGGTTACAGATTTCAGTTCTGGGTATCTATGAATCAAAACTATCGATTCTGGTTCTAAATTTCAAGAAACTATTGATTTCGATTTTGATTTCGGTTACTCAAAAAAATACAGGGTATCCAGAATCAAACACCCCTAACTGCCACGGTCGGAATTATCTTTCATCCCCCAGCTATAGTCCATACGCACCAATAAAGTAGTGCGTGATTCCTTTATTACTTATTGAAATCTGTCTTCACTTTGATGAACGAAGATGTGATGGCATCTATACATCTGGCCCACCTCTAATCAATACATGTCAGACCACATAAAGGCTTTTTTTCCCACCAATATTTGCTTCTAATGTAAGCATCCATGGTGATGGCTTATGGCTGAAAGCAACTCATCATGTCGGAGTGGAACATATTACATTGAGTACATTTATAGTAAAGGCAAAAGGATCCTAATTTTACCTCCAAGTTCAAACGAAAATCAATGCTGCTGATTGATTATCATCTTTATTTTGACCCAGACTGCCTTGCCAAACAAAAGACTCCATATTTGTCACAGCATGAGATTGATTCTAGTAGTTATATATCCATCGCCATCATCACTAAATTTTTAGGTTAAATCTTGACTGCCATAATTCATGGGTTCAACCTAAGATTGTGCATAAATTCGGTTTAATTTAAGGTAATCAATTAGCAGGTACTAATTACATTCATTATTAGTCATGCTCAGATGTTGTTTTAACACAAAATTTGAACAAATAACCTCCAAATCCTCTTTTTTACTTTTTTATTTTTTTTAATGATCAAATGTATCTAAATCAGTTTATATATATTTTAACTAATTTTTCAAGACTCTAAAACTATTAATTAGATAAGAGTTCGAGTGACTACCATATTAGCACATGAAAGAGAAATTTAAACTCAGAATCTCTGGACCATCAAAGAGTCTCAATTAAATTACTTGACCATCCAAAGTTGGTTAATCCTCTCAGGTTTAATAAAAAAGAAAAAAAGAACCTTCTATATTAAGCATACTAATCTGACTGTTTATACTAAATTAATAACATTACCAAATTGTTATAATATAATGAATAATGTATTCCATACGAAACATGTGGCTGAAGATCCGCCCTCGAAGAGTAAAGTACATAAGGAAGCCCTATATAATCTTTAAAAATTTGATTTCTGAGGGTGGTCAGACATGTGTCAATGCAGTTTCAGACTTTTTTTTGATGCAAAAGCCAAATAACAAGACATTTTAAAGGCAACTCTGTTGATGTTAATAATGGAGATAATCTCTACTTGCTTCTTACACATCGCCAATCTGCAATAAGATAATCCAAAAAAGGTTTCTGCTTTTCATGTGTAGCGAGTATTGACGTTTTATCTACTGGTGAGAGTGTTGTCTATGGCAATGTGTTTGAATTTTATTGGACAACGGCTATTTGTTTTCGCACAACTTTCCATACATTTTTTCAAAAGTTTGTCTTTCGCTCTGTTCATAAAATATAGGAAAAAAAAAAAATGGTCTTTCTCTCTTTAGTGCTTCAAATAATTATTAGTTTTATCGACGGTAGTTCGTCCTGTCATCTCACATACACACATTATCACAACAGCTTTCACATTTCTCTCACTCACTCTCTCTAGCTGAGTTAACTCGTTGCACAGTTGGTCAGTGGCCGCTTACTCGACGGAGCTCTCTACACAAGAAGCCCCTTTGTGAAGAGAATGAAAATGGGCATGTTGGTTTTTGTCTTCTCGGTGATATCTGTAGCAACCCTTTTCAGCTCGTGCTCACTTGCTCTTATTCAAGATGGTAAAAAGTCTCTTTTGATTTCATCTCTTATTTTTCAGTTCTTTCAACTGTTTGAGGGTTTGTTTTGGCTGAATCTCGATAAAAGAAAAGGTTGGGATTTTTTTTTTTTTGATGATTTAATCTTAATTTTTCAGGTCTTACACTGCTAGAAATTAAGAACTCTTTGAATGACAGTAGAAACTTGCTTGTGAACTGGCAAGCTACTGATGAAACACCTTGCAAATGGACTGGCATTTCCTGCCACACCCATGACCAACGGGTTCGCTCTATGTATGTCACTCTTATTATGCATTTATTCAATCCCTATTTTCATTATTTCCTATTACTCTGAGCCTTTTACTTCAGAACAATTAATTTTTTATATTGGACTTCTCAGAAATCTACCCTACATGCAATTAGGAGGCACTATATCTCCCAGCATTGGTAAACTCAATAGATTGCAAAGATTGTGAGTTTGATGTTCCTTTTCTTCATTGAATTTATTCTGCTAGGAATGCCAGAAAGATACAATATAATGTTTCTAATTATAATTTTTGTTTTTATATGAAACAGGGCACTTCACCAAAACAGTTTGCATGGATTCATTCCTAATGAAATTACGAATTGTACCGAGCTTAGGGCCTTGTAAGTGAATATAGATGTTAACTAATTTTAATTTTTGTCTCTGTTTGTGTTTTCTAAATGCATCGAATATCACATGCTGTATTTGGTCATTTATGTAGGTACTTGAGGGCTAATTATCTCCAAGGAGGCATACCAGCAAATATTGGAAATCTTTCTTTTCTCACTATATTGTAAGATCTTCAATTGCCCTTTTATTGATGGATCCTAATTTTCAATCCTGGTTCAGTTTACATTCTTACCCTGACATTGTCTTCTGATTCTTGAATGTTACATTTAGGGATTTGTCCAGCAATTTACTTAAGGGTGCTATACCTTCTTCTCTTGGCCGTCTCACACATTTGCACTCTCTGTAAGTTGAATGGAGTTGCTATTACCTTTTCAACTGTGTATTCTAATGTTTTAACCTAAAGTGTTAGTAAAATATTTGGTGAATCTGCTCTAATTGCCTGTCATGGTGTTTCATGCAGAAATTTGTCGACCAACTTTTTCTCTGGTGAAATCCCAGATTTTGGAGCCATGAGCACGTTTGGAAACAAGTCGTGAGTATTTCGTGTTATCATTCTGCTTCTGTTCTCTTATTGTTCAATGGCTAGGCTTGATCAAATACTATAGGCCAATATGCTACCATTAGATGAGTTGCAATTGTGACTACTAATTTTTAGACTTCAGAGTATCTAATCTATTTCATTAGTACCTTGCACTTTCTTCCCATTTCACTATTATAACAATAATAAATGTTTGACAACATTCAGATTTCTATTGGCCATGCCTTATAATGAATGAAGTGTATTCAATACCACTATGAGTCTAATTCTTATATGGCTTCATTTGATATTTCGCAACTTCTGTCTGGTAATCTTTGGTTGAGTGCTATATTTAATGCTGATCAAATTACTTCCTATGAGAGGACCAAACAAGGATAAATCTTTATAGAAATAATTTATTGAATGAGACTAAATATTGAGGGCAAAATCGTATAGCTACAGTACATACATCTGAACTATCAAAAGCCCTCCTAGTTGCCAGACTGCATACTGAGACTATACCTAGCACTTGAATTGTTATTTTGCCATAGAGCTGAAATAGTTGTATCTTGTGTCATGACTTGAATGGTTTTTGAGGGTATTTTAATTGTGAGATGATAAAGCCATCCCATTATAAAGGAGTGCTAATCTGGATGACATGACCAAGTGTAGACATGCATGATTATCTGTTGGCTAATTGGTCATAAATGTCAGGTTAATTAGGTCGTTTATTTCCTTGATTGACATTGATTGCTATACAGCTTTGGGATGAAATTTTTAGTCGTACCAAATTATGTGGTAACTTGCATACAATATTCACCATCTTAAATTATGTGGTGAGCAAATCTAGTATCAACAACTTATGAAGTGTTTCTCAGCAATTGCTGTTTCTCTGTCGATAGCCTGAGCATTGAGCTTGTTCTAAATATTGCCCTTCTTATGGTTAGGTTTATTGGAAATCTGGATCTTTGTGGTCGACAAATCAACAAGCCATGCAGAACCTCAATGGGATTTCCTGCAGTTCTACCACATGCAGCAAGTGATGAATCAGCAGGCAAGTGTTATTAGCATTTTTCTTGCTTTTTCATTGGACAAGAAATGTGCCAAGGGGCAATAGTTGCTACTGCTATCTGCTTCTGCTCATAGGTGTGCATATATACTAATACTGGATTGTTCGCTGTGGAATTGCTGTAGTTCCTACAAAACATTCCTCTCATTACATGAAAGGAGTGCTGATTGGTGCAATGTCCACCATGGGCCTTGCCCTTCTTGTGCTTATTGTGTTCCTTTGGTTTTACTTACTGTCAAAGAAGGAAAGGGCTGCAAAGAAGTACACAGAAGTTAAAAAGCAAGTCCATGAAGATGCAAGTAAGATGGAAGTTTATCTTAATGTAGTTATTTTTCATTATTTCCATAGTGCTAATCTTTAAATTCTTCAATAGGTACAAAGCTTATTACTTTTCATGGAGATATGCCATACCCGTCTTGTGAGATTGTTGAAAAGCTGGAGTCTCTTGATGAAGAGGATGTTGTAGGGTCAGGAGGATTTGGTACTGTATACCGGATGGTCATGAATGATTGTGGAACATTTGCTGTTAAAAGAATTGATCGGGGTCGTGAAGGATCTGATCAAGTGTTCGAAAGGGAATTAGAGGTCTTGGGTAGCATCAAGCACATAAATTTGGTTAATCTGCGGGGTTACTGCAGGCTTCCTACCTCAAAGCTTCTTATATATGACTATCTATCTATGGGTAGCTTAGATGATTTCTTGCATGGTAAGTCGCCCTATCTATTCAGTCAGACATGGATGATTTATCATGAGTGTTAGGCATATAGAACCACTGATGTAGGTGGTCGGGACACAAAACCAGCGGCTCCTTTAACATGATAGAAATTAGATTTTAGAATGTAAAAGTATGTCATTGGATGGTTGTTTTAGTTAACTCCATTGCCTAAATACCAGCAGAGAAGTTATAATAAAGACTTACGAAGAGGCTGGAGTAAAAGCTATCTCACTAACAATGAACTGAATTATACCAACTGAAGCTAAATTTTTCAGATTTCATGGGCTTTTAGTTTCTCAAGTTTGTGATTACTTGCATTTAGAAATTGGCATGATACTAAAAATGGGGTGTACCTGGTTGATGAACCTTGCCTTTTTAATATTGGAATATTTTAGCACCCCTGATTACTTAGTGTTGAATTTAATCCTCTTGAATGCAAGTAACATCAGGTTTTTTTTTTTTTGGTTTGGTTGTTTAGAACAAAGCCAAGGAGAGCGATTATTAAAATGGAGTGATCGTATGAGAATAGCCCTTGGTTCTGCTCGGGGATTGGCGTACTTGCACCATGACTGCTCTCCAAAGATAATTCATCGTGACATAAAATCTAGCAACATTCTCCTGGATGAAAACTTGGAGCCCCATGTCTCTGACTTTGGTCTTGCCAAGCTTTTGGTAGATGAGGAGGCCCATGTCACAACTGTGGTTGCTGGTACCTTTGGCTACTTAGCGCCAGGTGTGTGTTTGCTCTACTATTCACCTTAACTCTATGTTTTGGGTTTTTTTGACAATCTCTCAGCAAATCAAATTCAGGATTTAAATGTGCACTAGCTAGTACATCCTAATTTTCTTCTCTTCTGTTGTAATAAATGTGACCATGTGATTGGACATGATAAGTTGCACTCAAAGTTAATGTGTTAAGAGTTTCCAACATATATACTATGACTTATTCATAGGAACTTAATGGTCTTTGTTGTACCTGAACCAAGTGTCGAGTCGCTTTAAAACCAAAACTTGGGGGAAAGAATTTGGGTTACTAAGATCCAACCTGAGAAGCTAAAATATTTCTCTTGAAGTTAGGTAAAAGCTGAAGACTACATTTTTAAGCATTAAATTTATTAGTTTAGGATGTTATAGGTCTTATTGATTCCCTGCAACATTATCCAGCTGTGGGACTCATGGACCTTGTTCTAACTGTCAGAAGGAAATTTATTTGGCCAATTTGGCCAAAGATATTGCAAAGAGAGAAGAAATAGCTATTAAGTAATATATTTGAAGCACTTTCACGGATTTGACTATTTGGTAATCCATTCCATATTTCATTTATTTATGCTATTAGTTCCAAAACATAGTTATATGTATTAGTCCAGATGACTGATTAATTGCTTTGTTTCTACTTCATAACAGAGTATCTGCAAAGTGGGAGGGCTACTGAGAAAACGGATGTGTACAGCTTTGGAGTTCTCTTGCTGGAGCTTGTAACTGGGAAAAGACCAACTGATCCCGCTTTTGTAAAAAGAGGCTTAAATGTTGTCGGTTGGGTAAGCTCTCCAAAACTTCTTATGTTAATGTGCGTGCCTATATCTTTGTTAGAGATAATAACAAGCAATGAATACATTAGGATTGACATAAACTTAAGTCCTTGGTTTCTTAACTTTTGAGGACACAAAAGATTACAACTTCTGTGTATTTGTGCAGATGAATACCCTATTAAAAGAAAATCGATTGGATGATGTAGTAGATAAAGGCTGCCCTGATGCTGATCTGGAAACTGTAGAAGCGATTCTTGAAATAGCTGCAAGGTGTACGGACGCAAACCCAGATGATCGGCCGTCAATGAATCAGGTATTGCAGCTGCTAGAGCAAGAGGTCATGTCACCTTGCCCGAGCGAGTTTTATGAGTCCCATTCAGATTATTGTTAGATTGACACATAAAGCATGAGCTACTCGAGTGAGTAATTACACCTTATTTTGAAGCGTTTTGCCCCTCCCTTTGGGGCCTGTATATTAATGTTTATCTGCAATTAATGCATATGCCACTGGACACTTGCTTAAGTTACTCGAGTCTCTTTATTTTACCCAATACTCAACCTTTGTTTTTCTCAATTTTGCATCTGGTGGAGACCAATTTGGTTAGGACAAGCTTCAGGCGATGCTTTAATAATCTATATGACTGATAGTTAATTGTGTTACCAGTTGCTCCTTTCCAGATACGAACTAGGTCAATTGATGAAATGACTAGGTCCGTTAATGAACAGTTTTTATGTATATTAAATTTCTATTAATGTTATATAGCGGCTGGATGAAGTTCCTAAAAGAAATTAATTGAACAAGAAAAGTCAAATGGCTAGCAGTTAAGAACTATAGGAGATATTAAAGTTAGGTGAATTGTAAGTTTGTGACAAGATTTATCCAAAAGGCCATAAAGCTAATAACAATGGGAAAGGTTCCTGATACTGAGTCCTGACCCAACAAAGCCCCTCTTAGCAATTAACAAAAAGTCAAAAACTCGGAAGACAAATTTGTCGGTTTTGTTTTATTAAAGCCCAATTAAATTTAATTGTTTATCACAGAAAATAGTGTCTATACCGCTGTCGAAGAGTTCTTCTTTGATCTCAGAATATGTAGTATTACTATTAATAAACAGAATAATACAACACATACATTATTTTTATATAACATTTGACTCTAATAAACAGAATAATTGAGTGAAAGTTTAATTTTAACTTTAAATTAGTCAATCATATCTTGTTATCTAATATTGTATGAGAAATATTGTATGAAAATAATGTATGTGTAGTATTACTCTAATAAACATACGACGCATCGAAAGATATATATATATATATATATATATATATATATTCTCAATAGGATATATCAAACAAAAACGATACTAGGAAATCTGCATGGACTCAATCCAAGTTGCAAAATCCAAATTCTGACGGTTTTCACAATAACTTTTGTTTTCTTTATAACCTGAAACCTTTTCTTTAGTAAGTACAACTCTGAAATGGCTGACACCACCTCATGCAAGAAAAAGCTTCAAGGCAAAGTGGCGATCATTACAGGAGGCGCCAGTGGCATCGGTGAAGCATCAGCTCTTCACTTCATCAACCACGGCGCACAAGCGATTGTTATAGCCGATGTCCAGGATGAGAAAGGCCAAAAACTTGCCGAATCCATCGGCCTCGACCGCTGTATGTACGTACGTTGTGATGTGTCCGACGAGGAGCAGATTAAAAACCTTGTTGAAACCACTATCAAAACCTACGGACACCTTGACATCATGTTTTGTAACGCCGGAATCCTAAGCAAATCCGAACAAATCATCTTGGACTTCGACCTGTCCGACTAGGAGAAACTTTTTGCAGTCAACGTACGGGGCGTGATTGCCAGTATAAAGCACGCGGCACGTGCAATGGTGAAGGGTAAGATACAGGGTAGCATTATATGCACTGCGAGTGTATCAGCGACTATGGGAGGTCCAATATTTACGGATTACACAATGTCGAAGCACACGGTGGTGGGTTTGATGAAGTCTGCGAGTAAGCAGTTGGGAGGCTATGGAATACGGGTGAACTGCGTGTCGCCGGGGCCGGTGGTGACGCCGATGCTGTGTAGAATGTCAGGGTTGAAAGCGGAGGAAGCGGAGAAGGCTTTTGAGCGTTCTTCTTGCCTGAAAGGGGTGTTGAAACTGAAGCATGTGGCGGACGCTGTGTTGTTTCTTGCTAGTAAGGAGTCTGAGTTTGTCACTGGTCATAATTTGGTTGTGGATGGTGGCTTTATTGCAATGGTTAATTTAGTGTAGAGAAAAAAAATTAAAGATATTGTTAAGTTCAAAACAAACTCAATTCTAACATATTCCATTATCAAACACACCTACACACAAATCAAACAGGAAAGAAATCAAGAACACAAAGATTTTTTACAGTAACTCACTTATTCCAATAAAATAAGTTACACCTACATTGAACTCCAAGTAATTTGGGGTTCACTGCACTATAAGAATCAAGATTGTACAACTCATAAACCAATCAACATAATAATACCCAAATCTCTCACTTTAAACAATATACCCTCAAATCAACCGTAATCGCAACTCAAGAGAATACCTATACACAGTATCTCTACTCAAAGAAGAACCCTACTTTTCTACCCATAATTTACACCAATTGTGACCCGATTACAAGATTTGAGAAGGAACCTAAGAGCCTGAAGAACCCCCAACAGAGACTGATATCGCAAGAGAGGAAGAGTTTTATGCTACTGTGCAGATCTCCAAATATATGGCCTTATATAGTTTGACTTGTAGGATTGTTGAAGGCTGTTGGATCATGCTGGAATCAATGGTTGAGATTAGTCACTTAAGTGAACTCCAAAACGACGGCGTATAGACAGTAGCAAGACGTCATCGTTTTAAAGCTTCACTCAACAGGTATAAATTAATTAATGTGTTGATTTGGAATCTTGAATGTTTGGAGCAGAAGATACCTTGTTTAGAGAGTGGAGGTAGGGACTCTAATAAATCAGTAATATTGGATTTATAATTCAATCTCATAACATTCTCTCACAATTTTTAACATAACAATTCATAATTGATCAGTTCCCAAATGGGCAAGCATGATGCATAGCAAAGAGACGAGATCTATTTACGAATTGATCAAGTACGAGTTACAACGTCGATGGTTGTTGACCTAGTATTACACATAACAAATTTGAGATCATATTCAAGTTTATTAACCCTAAGGGGTTGGTCTGGTGGTTAAGGAGGTGCGCTCTTTTTTTTTAACTTCTTAAATTCAAACTTTAGAGCCACTTACTTCAATACATAATTATGCTTTATCCGATTCATTGTGTTTGTAGAGTATTGAATGGATTTCGAAAATTAGTTAAAGTGCGCATAAACTAGTTTGGATATCCGATTAAAAAAAAAAAAAAATTCAGGTTTATTATCTAGAAGATTACATTTATTGTTAAAATTTTATAAAAAATAAGGAAAGTCAAAGTAGTACTATTCAAGGCCTGTTTAACACGGTAGAACCGTAGAAGTCTAGAAGAGGTGAAGACTTGAAGAACATTAGAACAGCTATTTGATGAGTCAAAGTCTTGTTCTATTTGATGGGTCAATGACCCAATTATCACTTTATTTTTGATAAAGCGGCGCATGCAATATATGGTTTCTAGAATGAAAATGATTAATATATTAAATGTAAATCATATTCATATATTGCTCATGACTCATTTATGTTATTTTTTTAAGAAAAGTTATTTATCATTACATTTTATATTACATTATTTTCTGTAAAACTTTTATTTATTAACAGAGGAAAGAGGACCCATGGCAGGTAACCCAATCGTAAAGGTGAAACCAAAGCTTTAACCTACTGTCTCGGGTTTTGTTCACTTATCAAATTAATGAATTATGCATGCAAAAAGTAAAACAATGACATAAGAATCCATGCTGCCCTAGGTTCATTTGGGCCACAAAATAAAAAGTTATTTAAAGAGTCTATAAAATTAAGAGAAAAAAACAATGTTTCAGTCAATATCAGTCACCAATTCCCATCGGTCTTTCACTGTTTTAGGTTATTTTTCCAAAATAGTATTCTAAAAAAACATTAGAATAGTAATTAGTAAACCATATAGAGCCGTCATTTTCTGAGTATTATTTGGTGTTTTAAAAATTATCAAGTAGAATTTAAAAAAAAAAAAAGAAGATAAAATGTTGTATAAGAAAATTTAAATATCGTATTTATCATAAAAAATAATACACCATTAATTTCATCGCTTAATTTATTAGCCTGGCGGCTTAGAAGTGTGAGTTTTTAAAAAGAGCAGCTGGCATTTAATTTTAAGTACCAGAATAAATTCTCCTATCTCTGATCTCTCCGTAATGGTTTGGTGACATGAGCAAAAGACTTTGAACTTTGATCAAGGAGTAAACGACTGTTTTCCACCCAAGTTTTGGTGTAGCGATACTTCTAATCTTAAAAAGTCCTAAAATATCTTTTTTTTTTACTTAAAATTAATATTTCGTTACTATTTATAACTAATTTAGCCAATTCTAATAGTAAAATTTATTTTCATCACCACCATTTAAACCTTTGATTTCATTTTTACAAAACTCGTCTCACTTTGATATTTAATTTCTCGCTAATTTTTTATTATTATAAAGCTAGAGTTTTATATTCTTAGCTAATTTATAACTAATTCTGACTATAGATATTCAATCAGTCACTACTATTTGATCTATTGAATTTTATTCTATAAAAACTCTCTTATTTTAACTCTTGATAAATCGTCGAGGCTGAAAAAAGTAAAGTGTATTTTAATTATTACAGTTGAATGGAAAAAAGATATTTTGAATCTTTTTAAGTGGAAAAGTGTCACTTTAAGGCAAACCTTGGGTGGGAAATAGTCGTTTACTCTTTGAACAAGTTTATAATTTCCACGAAGAATAAGGAGGGCCGGCCACTCTTCTCTGCGCAGACTATTCATCATAATTTCACTATAAATTCTTAACTTCTGGTATCCAAACGAGCAAGGAGAGTATCTTGTGTTTTTAAAGTCTCTCTCTTCCCACTTCAAAAACCAGCGTTTTAACAAAAAATATTAATATGTCAGGATCCATGCACACCCTGTCCCTACCCCCAAAGAAATTGGAAGGTAAAGTAGCCGTAATAACAGGCGGCGCCAGTGGAATCGGTGAAGCTACGGCACATCTTTTCGCCGACCACGGTGCTCGTATGATTGTGATAGCCGATATCCAAGATGATCTCGGACAACAAGTAGCCAAATCAATTGGAACAGAAAAGTGCATGTACATGCACTGCGATGTTGCAAATGAAGATCAAGTCAAAGCATTAGTTGACTCAACGGTCCGGACTTATGGTCAGCTAGACATCATGTTTAGTAACGCCGGGATTTTAAGCGCCTCTCCTCAGACAGTTCTTGACCTCGATTTGACAACCTTTGACCGTGTGTTTGCCGTAAACGTCCGTGGCATGGCTGCATGCGTGAAACATGCGGCTCGTGTGATGATCGAGAAGGGCGTAAGAGGGAGTATCGTGTGCACGGCCAGTGTTACAGGTAGCCGGGGAGGTTCACGGCTGACAGACTATTGCATGTCGAAGCATGCGGTGATTGGATTGATAAGATCAGCCAGCACGCAGCTTGGAGTGCATGGGATTAGAGTGAACAGCGTGTCGCCATCTGCAGTGGCGACTCCAACTTTGTGCAGGTCGTTCGGTGGTATTGATGCTGAGCAAGCTGAGAATATTTGTGAACGATTCTCCAGCCTGAAAGGGATTGTGCCCAAAGTGAATCATGTGGCAGATACTGTACTGTTTCTTGCGTCTGAAGATTCTGCGTTTGTGAGTGGGCACGACCTGGTGGTGGATGGTGGCCTTTTATCGAAAATGCTCTAGGTTTCTTTGATTTGATTGCCCACCAAAATAAAAGCATTTGACTCCATGACCTGATGGAGCAATTTCTTAAGCACATATACTATGAGTTAGAAGAATAAGGCCAGATAGCATCTCCTGATTGTTTAATCTGAGCTCTCATGTATTTAACAATTATCAACCACTTAATGATATAAACATTGACATTTATGTTCACGTCATACAAGATAACATCTAGTATGTCTTATACTAAATTAACTCGTATATAGTTTAAACTTTCAAACTAAACGTATATGCATATCATATATAAATATAAATAATAAATTTCATATATTTTCTGATTAGCTCAAGTCACAAGTTCCATTTAAAGAAAAGGTAAAATAATGATAAAAGGAATTTTTTTTTTGGACAATAGGCATAGTCTTGACTCTTGTATAACGTGTGATTGAATTCAAGAAATAGAAAAAAAAAAAAAAAATTTAAACATTGGTTGTCTTACGAAGTTATACATTGAACTGACAGTCCCTATCTTATATTTCACAAAACTCATATATTTTTAATCAAAAATTTTACATAAGGAATCTATTAAAGAGTAACAAGAGTCAACTTACATAATAACAAACCCCAAGGGGTTGGCCTTGCGGTCAAGGAGGTTTACTTCATTCTTTGAGTTCCTAAGTTTAAACTTTAGGATCACCTACCACAATAACAATGTGATTTACATGATCATTTGGGCTTATAGGATGTTAAATGGACACCGATGATTAGTTGAAATGCGTGCAAGCTGGTTCGGACACCCCGGTTACCCAAAAAAGAAAAAAGTCATAGAATAATATTATTTTAAAGATAAAATTAACGAAATTTAACAGCTACTTTTAATATATGTATATTGTTATGATTCTTTAATTTGAAAACCTACTTGAAATCTAATCAATCAAAGCAATAAACACAAAACAAGCAACCACAAATCAGACACACGATATACGTACCGTGGTTCACCTATTCAAGAATGAATAGACTATGTCCATGTTGAGCTCTACAACTGATGGGGTTCTCTGCACTAATTGATTTCACAGAGCCAGTTACAAACACAATCAAGATTCACTCACTCCTCACTCCTCACTTCGCTCAAACCTCACTCAGAAACCTATATAGAATTGTAATCACAACCCTAGGAGAAACTCTACCCTGGTAACCTTAGCTCGAGAGCACACAAACCCTTTATGAGTGATTTTATAGAGAAATCCTCACTTGATTACAACAGATTTTACAGAGGAATACACAAAGAACCCTAACAATGGAAAAATCATATATAAGAGAGAGAAAGTGTTTTTCGATCTGTTGACCAAAATAAAATTTTGGATTGCTTTTATATTGCTGGATTCGTGGCTTAATGACGATTGTTAGATCAGCTTGAGAAACAATGGCTTAGATCTTGAATGGTTGAACCAATATGACATCATTTGGATAAGTGAATTAGCTAAAGTAAATATGCCACCGTTTCTAGCTTCACCTTCAACACACACCCAGACACACAACAACAACAGAAAGAGCTTTTAGCTATGATTTTGTTAGCAACAATTTCAAGATTCGTCACCAAAGGTAACTATTAGCAATGAAATATGAAATTGGTCGCCAATAGTTTAGCGGACTTTCTAATCCTCACATGAGATGGCGGGAAGCAAATTGGGGACGGACTTAACGACAACATAGTTCGTCATATAATGTTTTTGACGATGAAAACACAAAAAGTGACGCCCAAGTTGTTTTTGCGACGTAACCATATGTCGCCATTGATACTGTTTAGAGACGAAAAAAATACAAAAAGTAGCCAAAAGTATTTAGCAGCGCAAATGCACGATGCCATAAAATGTGTTTGGAGATGAAAATACAGAAAGCGATGCTAAAGAATTTTAGCTATGCAACAAAAGGCCCGTTGTAACGCCTTTTCAGTGACAAAAATATAAAAACTGACGCAACATCCATCTGGCTACACAACAAATAGTTTGTCAAGAAATGTTTTTGGTGACGCAAATATAAAAAACAATGCCAAAAACGTCTTGCGACGCAATCTATGTTTCGTCATGAAAATGTTTTGGGGTCGATTTTCTTAAAATCGTTGCAATTAGTATGTTAGAATTTAAATTTTAATGTAATTTTATATTTCTATGACAATAACTGAAAGTGTAAAACCAATCAGTAATAAAAGAAATCAAAATTAAAAGAGTGTCAATATAAAAAATAATGTCGTAGAAATTTGGCTCTTGAATTTGACATTCAAACATGTACTTCACTTTAAAAATGTTGCTAATATTATACGAATTAGCTTTAATTCTTAATAAAGAATTTATTCTTTCACTTAATTGATTGGGTTCGTTGTTATATAGTACTTATTCAAAGCCTTGATATATAAATATATATAAATATTCATGAAAAGCTAAAGACAATGCTCTTAAATAATAATAAGAGCATTGTTTTTTAGGTTTACACTGTTTGCAGCTTATGTTTGGTATTTGTTTGTTGCTCTTTAGAATCATTGGGTGCGTTTGGTTCATTATTTTGGATAGGATTTTGAGAATAATATTGGATAGTTGAGTAGGGTTATGATAACGTGAATAAGATTTGCAAAATATGTGTTTGGTAGAGTATTTTGACCTTGATATTTGTGTTGAATATTTGATTGATATATTTTTTTATAAATGATTTATTAATATAATATTTTGTTGCATTTTGTTAAAATAATATATTATTATATATATAACTTATCCAGTTACATTTTAATAATATTAAACAGTTTATTGGTAATTTTGTCACCCGTAAATATTAAAAAACAAAAACCCATATTAATTTCAAGTACTAATCCAACTGTTTAAAACACATCACATTAATACATATATGACAAAAGTACTAATTATCAACCCTTACAATCATTCTTACACGTTTACTCTATTTACAACTACGACATGGTCCACTCTGCTGCCCACAGTGCATTCGTTATGTTATCCCGTATAGTCGTCATGTTGTCTATAATACCTTGTTGCGATTGACTCGGTCCTTCTCCATTTCGGCCATATTCTGTCCCGTTTTAACGATCACAATATACTTGCTCATTAATCGTACTATTATTGGTTTGTTCGAAGATACAGTCATCCATATTATATATTCTGATAAAATTATGAAGTATACAATATGCCATAACAATCTTTTCTTGTTTGTCTAATGGGTAATTCTTCATTTCATTCAAAATACGGAACTGAGAAAGTGAAATGGTGAAGTGAGAAAGTGGGAAATGTTAGTGAAGAATAATGAAGCAAACTGAGAAAAATAAAAGCCAACGCTAAAAAAAAAGTCAAAAAAGCTGTCAGAAAAAATATCATGAAGATTGGTTTGTGCAAATAATAAACCAAACATTATTTAAAAATCCGGTCCAGAATATGGAAAATAATACTGAACCAAACGCAGTGATTATTATTTATTATTATTGTTATCGTTATTATTACTATTAGGTTATTGTTAGTATTATTTTTTTTATAAAATATATTATAATAAATTTATAATATTATTTAATATTTATATCTAAATGTTAAATTTAGTACGTTAAATAATATTTATTAATATTAAAGCAAATAAATTAAAATTAATGCACAAAGGAAAATCACATCACAATTATACAAATTAAATTTGGATAAAAATAATAAATATTATGAATTCTCAATATCATTTTCAACTTGTACATCTTCACTTTCAGTGGTTCAATTTTCATCACTCATCTCATTTTCACTATCATCATTTATGAAACCGATATCATCATCACTAACTCTACTACTTGGCTCCACAAATTGAACAACCTCTAGTTCCACATCCACCCCACGAAGTTCTTCTTGTTCATTGATTTCCACATCAATATGAAAGCTAAATTCATCTGAATTATTGGCTTGATTGCATCACGCGTTGTCGGTTGATCTTCCTCAATTTTATCGGTAATGTCGTACAAACACCTATGTTGCACCTTTTGTATAACTTGCCAATTGAAAAAATCAAATGTCAATGCACCAATCGACCATAAATCTTTGAGTTCTTACCGGGTCACACCGGCCGATGTGTATTCCAGTTTCCTGAGAAAATCATATCGTTAAAGGTACCAAATTCCGGTTTGATTGGTCCGACCGACTGGTATGGTCTGGTTCTTTAAATAGTGGATGCAGGTATTCACATCATAAGAATGAGATAAATGTAAAACTCGAGGACATGGTCCATCACAAGACAATATTATCCATTTGTGGTTACAGTATTTTAATTGTCTATATATACACTAGGGTAGGAAAATTACCCACTATTTATTTTATATTGAGTAAAATTATTACTTTAGGAATACTTGTGTAATTTAGGATTACTTGAGGACATGCTACTAATTAAAATGAAACTAGCAATTACTTTAGGATTACCTAGTGCTTAAATTAATCTATAATTATTATGTATAGCTACATAATTAAATGTTAATATATTCTATATATATATATATATATATATGAAAAATGATACATAAACCCAACAACGAATATTATATTCTATATATACCAACACCCCTTCATATTTTATATATATTCTATTATGTGCCATGCCCCTTTTCATCTCCTACTTCTATTTAGCATTTACCCTACACTAGTCACATCCCTTCATCTTCTTCTTCTTACACCTTCTTCGTGTAGCTCCACTCACGCCTCAAAAGTCACACCACTAACTCATCATTTCATCTTAACATCCATGACTTCACCTTCTTCTTCTTATGCCTTCTTCGTGCGGCTCCATCCATGGCTTATTTCACATTCTTCTTCATACGGCTTCACCTCACTGAGTCACCACACAACATCAGTCCTCCATCCACGACTCTTTTCTTCTTGAGGTTTGTTATATCTTTTTTCACTCCATATTCCATAATTCTTTTTAATTTTACTTGAATGCTTGGGTATATGTAAATATTCTTGTTTGACTTTTAGTTTGGAGCAAAATTACTTGGTAGTAAT